GGTCCTTCCATATGAAAATCAGAACTGGCATTGTGCAAGAGGAGTCACAACAAAGCAGTGTGCAATGTGACTGTATGTCATGAAATGTTCCTTGCAAATAAAGTTTGCAGGTGCAAAGAGGTGCTGCATGCAACACCAAATGGCACACCCACAAAAGCACAGAAATAGGGTGCCTTCCTGTCCAGCATCAAACTGTTTGCAAAACAGCACAGAAACCTGAGCAATATACTGAGCTAAATGACTGTCAGGAAAGTGGGACAGAGAAAATAGGACAGTGCAGTGGGTGGTGGCCCCAATTAACAAGCAGACCTGAGATCAATAGAAATAATGATGTGCAGGATCCTCTGGTCTGAACAGGCCCTTTGGCATTTCTGGATGTGACTGCATGTGCCTGGACACTATAGTGGAATGAGCAGGTGACAGAGAACCAGGTACAGTAGATCCCATATCAAGTTAGGGTTCCTCATGGCACTTCTTAGTTAATGCACTCTCCAAAATTCAGACATGATCCATGTGTTGTTCCACTTATATACAGTACTGTATATACCGTATGATGCTCCACTTTTAGGTGCAGCCTACAGTCCAATATCACTTTACACATTGCAAATAATGTTTACATGACCTTACATGAAACAGGTTATCCAAAACTACAGTAATGATGCAGAATACAAACAGGACAACACACCAGTTCTGTAATAACATAAAAACCATATCTGTGCAATACACATGAATGCATATGTGAATGGTGTCTGAATGTATACTGTTAAACAAGGGTCTCCAACCCAGGTCCTGAAGAACCCCAATACAGTAAAGCACTGTAGGCCATGTGTATTAAAACATCTGTAAACTATTGTTTAATTACACATGTAATCTGTTCAATTAAGAGAACTCATGTTATTGAGAGCTGAAGAGTACTGATATTGTAGCTCTAAATGATGTCAAAATCACTCAATTTAATAAATCACCTATTTAAAGAAAGCTGTGATGGCGGCCAGCAGCACCTGCTAGACTGGGGCTCTCCAGACCAGGGCTGGAATCCCTGCTCTAAAGTGTAATGACAGTCAGGGGGAAAGAAGGCTGAAGTGCAGGGTGCCTTATAATTTTGTCACAGTTTGCATTAAATGTGCTCTCTTGCACACTGGCTTCACTTCATCTTCTTCATCTTCCAGTAGCTCTATTATGATGTCACTACTTAGCTGATATCCGTATGTAATTTATAGCGGTGTGGCAAAGAACTATCCTCTTCCCCTCTTATTTATTGTGCATGTTATTGGTGGCAGCACCTCATTCACACAACTCTCACAGGTGCCATTCTTTCGGTTTTGTTTTCCTTAGCCTTACTTTCATGGTTTGTTCATCGTGATAGGGGGAAGACATGCTTATTTTATTTAACTTATTTTAGGGTGGCAAGGTGACACAGTGTTTAGCATTGCGGCCTCACAGCGCTGGGTACAAAGAGCAATTCCAGACCCTGAGTGCTCTCTGCGTGGAGGTTGTCTGTTCTTCTTGTGTTCGTGTAGGATTCTCCTGGTAATCCAGTTTTCCGCAGTCAATAGACATACTAGTATGGTAATTGGCTTGTAGGAAATTTGCCCTGAGGTGACTGTATCTGTGTCTGTGTGCGCCACCCAGGGTGTAACCTGCCTTGTGCCCATTGCTTGGTTCTTCCATGACCCTGAATTGGATGAAAGGGTTAGAAAATGGATGGATGAACAGTTTTTTTCTGCTGTAATTAGACTTGCTACAGGTCACAGTATTTTGATTGTCTCATTTTAATGTCAAGCAAACCTTGATTGTATGATTTTCACGCTGTCTTTTTCAAAGCTCTCATGGAACACGCCCATACTGAAATGAGGGCAGCGTGATAAACACTTATTTAGTTGTGGGTCTGTCATTGGAGCGGAGCTAGTTTGGACTCGGTGACGTCATCGCCCTCCCTGCACGTAGCGGGGACCTCAGCCGCCTGGGCTGGGGGAGCTCTAATTAAGCTCACTCGGCTGGTTCCTTGTTGCATTACACCGGAGACTCGGGTTAGCGCCCAGGTGTTGCAGGACGAACCGGCGGGGTGACCACAATGGTCACATCATTATTCACATTCAGACATTTTACTATGCTGGAAATGATGAAATGGACTCATAAGCTATTTGGTCATTCATCATGACAGTGAGTGGTTTTTCATACTGTATATGAGGCACATTATTCTTTTTCCAAAAGACCGTTGAAAATCCTGCTACTGTTTTGGAGACAAATTAGTGTTTTTTTTTTCCTCACACTGTTATATTTATCATAACTCACAGTGAAGACAGTGAAGCCTCATTATGTTAGTAATATTGTAATGTAAGTGAAACCTGTAAGCTAGGATATTCCCAGTGGTGTTAATTCTGTTACATTGAAAATTAGGGAAAGTTGATATTATTAATTGTAAGTAGTTGTAGTTTATTGGCCAGCAGTCATATCACACTACAAATCACAACTGACAACTCACTGACACTCAGCAGGTGTGAGCCTGGTCAGTACCTGGATGGGAGACCTTCTTGGAAAAACTAAGGTTGCTGCTGGAAGAGGTGTTAGAGAGGCCATTAGGGGGCGCTCACCCTGTGGTCTGTGTGGATCCTAATGCCCCATTATAGTGACGGAGACACTATGGTGTAAAAAGGTGCCATCTTTCAGACCGAGGTCCTGACTCTGCGGTCATTAAAAATCCCAGGATATTTCTCGAAAAGAGTAGGGGTGTTACCGCGGCATCCTGACCAAATTTCCCACTGGCCTTTGCCAATCATGGCCCCCTAATAATCTCCATCACTGAATTGGTGTCATCACTCTGCTCTCCTCCCCACTGAGATCTGGACAGACAGTGTTCTGGCGCACTCTGGCTGCCGTCGCATCATCCAGGTGAGGCTACACATTGGTGGTGGTAGAGGGGATCCCCATGACCTGTAAAGCTCTTTGAGTGGAGTGTCCAGAAAAGCGCTGTATATTGAATTATTAATTATTAATAATTATTTAAACTAAGCAGTTAATAAAGTATCACATTTTTGTGAGACATGCAGAATCATTTTAATAATTAAATTTTATGTACTGTTGTTTCAATAGATTGTCGTAAACTGCAGTAAATATTTTACATTGGATGACCACTTCGTTAAAATCATGTTCCATATGCAAAATACACTATACATTTGCTGTTGAATTTGAGGATTTTCTATTCCAGCTGGATTTACAGTAAGTTGCCTGACCTTTTCTACCCACAGCAGTGCGATTGGCAGACATTTAGCCATGCCCCTCAGACCACACCTATACCATCTACCTCATTATGATTTCTTATTTATTGCACATCTCCAGTCATTGTTTACATGTCTGCATTGTTTACATTCAAACTGTTTACTTGGTAACTTTTACACTGTCTACTGTTTGTTTGTATATTGTCTTGATGCACTGTCTGCACTTTGTATTTTTACACTTTATTAACAATCGAGAGACTTTCTGTAAGTAATAATTCAATTGTACCAGTACATGTACCGGTTACATATGGCAATGAAGTTCAAGTTCAAGTTTTAAGAGATACTGTATGAATCACACGTAGGGAGACCCACTTACTGTAAATACAAACAGTACTGTATATGATAAATAATATGCTGTATACACGTTTACGTGCCTAAGTCTGACTAAATGTATTGTACATTTAGCAGAAAATGTATTGCTCTCATCCTTACCACTGTAATCGTTAGTTATTACTTAATTATTTCTTTATATCTAATAAAGTGCTATTGTACTGTATTTTCTTGTCATTTAAAATGTTCAAAAAGACAATATTCTTTCTAGCTACCTCAACAGCAAAATATTTTATTAAAAGAATATAATTCCCGTAATAAATTAAGACAATGCTAAGTACACATTGACATCATAAAAACACACATTAAAGTCAATAGTGCCACCAAGGATCCTTCCGCTAGTCACTTATACTGCTCCCATGAACACTGTCATTACTGTTTGCAATTTTCATCTCAGTTTGGCTGCACGGAGATACAGACTGTTTACCCATCTTCAAAGGAAGTGAGAAAGTAAACACTGTCCTTACCTTGGGTTTTAATTGTCAATTCAACTCAACACAAGAGACACTGAGCTGCAGACCCACAGTGTTTTAACCCTCAGTTCCGGCTCACAGGATGGCTTTTCTATTCGTTTAATTTGATCTGGTTTGCATAAGTCCCTGTACTTTGGTAAAAGTAGAGTGAAGTGAAGTCAAGAGTAGTTATGGACAAGTGTAGTATAAACAATGGAAAAGATGGAAAAGTACTATAGATGTGTCCTAAATAGAAATATATACTGCATATAGAAATACCACTTGTTATAAGAACCGTTTTCCTCTCTGTTCTGATAATTGTTCCCTTTTCTGATTCTTGAAATAAAATACACGCCCTTCAGCAAATAAACTTTATTGCTATCCTCCTGATATGCAATGTGGCAATCCTAGTTAATGCTAAAGTAGAACATGATTCCCTAAATAAAGTAATGCATCTGGCCTGCAGGTAAATATGCCTACACATGACAAAACTGTCATTTTAGATATCTACTGTACCTACAGTACTTACCAGTAAGCAATGCATAAATGACAAAATATCATATATAACTAAGTGGCATTACCTTACAATGCTCAGTGGTTTTAAAAATGTAATTACTTTTACAGACCTGTAAAATAATGCTCACAACGAAAATGTGTTAAATCCAGTTCCCAAGAAACACAGTTCATTAAATAATTAAAGAGATGCATTAAACAAATGTCCTTTACTTGCCCTCACAAAAAGCTGAGCTAAGCCTTTTGTGTAGCATTTTCAGTATTTGCTTTTGTTTTAATGATATTGCTGTTCATGGTTCACTTTATTTTGTAAGGAATATAAATCTATTTAATATGCATAGAAAACTGGACTTTTGCCCTTTTGTTTTGCTGAACACGCAAACCCTAAAACGTGTAGGTAAATTAGGTTGCAGTAGTTTGATCGTACCTGAAAAAACGCTGGGAATCTTGGATAGAAAACTTTTCACTGTGCGGATAGGAATTCCATTTTTTTCATCTTGCATACGTGCTATGATATCTTCCATCTAGAAGAAAGGAATATAAAGTCAAAATACTCTTCATATTGTTAGTGACAAGTAACACACAAAATAAAAGGAATAGTGTATACCAGGAGATAATATTCACACCCCTAATGGATTAGGAGCAATAAACCTCAGATAAAACTGAGTTATAGATTAGATAATGTGGCTTTGCTTAAAACAATTCTAAAATTGACGTACTATAATCACATTTTTTCATAATTTAATAATGAGCCATTTTTGTCCTAATTCCAGAAAATAGGAAAGTCATATGTATTCACACCTAAGTAATCCATTAAATTAAATCCAGCAAAACCAGCAGCAGTAGCATTGGATTATAAATAGCATGTTTTTGTACTGTGTTTATGCTGCTGGGACCTATTTTTTATTTTTTCTTTAGTCTGCAAAACTCTATAGTTAAAGAAGAAACCTTGATTTGTTTTAAAGATAACAAATTAAGGTTTCTACTGTATATTTAAAGTGAAATTGGTTGGGTTACATTTCACCATTGTGAAAGGTTACTGAAATGATGAAAAGAATTGTAAAATCTATCATTTACAATACCTGTGTCTGCATTTGTTCTAGTCCACTCAGACACAAATTAATTAAAACAACCAAAACACTTAAACTGTGGAAACATTGTGCTGTATTACAAGGGAACATAATTCCCTTATTTTTCTCTGAGGGAAAAATTATTCCAGCAGGTACAGGTGCACCTCTTTGATAGCCTAGCTCCCAGGCGTATGAGCATTTGATTCACAGTCACCTGACTCAATACTCTTGCTGCCAAGAATAAGCAGCTTTTCTTTTCATCACTATTAGCTGCTTCTGATTCCATTATTATCTGCTTATCTACTTAAAGCAGACCAGCTCTTGAAGAAGCACTGTTACTATTAACCTAAAGCCTTTTACTATTGTATGCATTTTTAAGCAGGAAATGTCCACTGCTGAGACAGTCTATCATGAAAAAGACCTGGCAATAGTGGGTTACTATAGAAATCAAATATTGTGTTCACAGTGAGATAATGGAGGGAAATGTCAATAAGACTGCAATGAAAACACGCCTGAAGCAAAAGTCTTTATCGGGCATCTGGGGCTACATCTCTATTTTGTATTTCACCTTACTAATGGGCTCTTCTAGTAAATAATCAACAAGCTTTAAAGCTGAATTCTTGAGATCTCTAGATATATAACATCCCAAAATGACATCCTGCTCTTCAGCGTCTTTTGAAACAGAATGAGTTTCAGACTATGAAAGAGTATTAGCTGACAGGAAAATATTCTCCTTCTAATGAAGGAGCTGAAACAAAAAGCAGCACTAACACAAAAGTATACTCCTGGCAACAAGCCAGAACTGCAGGGTATTTATGGTAGTGGACTGTACAAAAAGTACAGAGAGCATGCCTATTTAACATGTTGCTTTTGGTTTATTTCTTCCAACTGTCAGATATGTGACTAATAAAATAATTGTGAGACTATAATCACAATCAAGAGTACTCTTCAAATCCCTGGTGGTGTGTACGCACAAAGAGTAGATGAGGAGCTAATCCATCATATACATTTTAACTAGATCTATAACAAGTGTAACGTTTAAGTTAACGGTTTTAGATCTAGTTAAAAGTATAATTGTAACAAACAGTTCTTTCTGGACCCTATGCGGACGACACAGTCCGACGGAGTGGGGAAACACTGGGGAAACGTCATGCAGGAATACGGGGCAGAAGACAGGGGGGCGTGTCCAAGGTGCGCTGGTGCACGGGGGAGGTGTGGCCGAGGCGAACAATCCGAGAGAGTAGTCCTTAGAGTATCCAAAACACGAAGGTAAGTCCAAAACCAGGAGATCCATCAGAACAAAGAATTAAAACCACGAAGGCCGGGTCGGAACCGGCGGACGGGGAACAGGAACGGGAACAGAGGTTAAAACCTTAACGGGACCAGGCGCTTCCAGGTTAAAGTTAGGATAGTGACTAATACTGATCTAGTCGGTATTAGAAAGTTGCAGATTCCTAATAAGGGTTGTGGCAACTATCCCTAGATATAAAGGGATCCCCAGGTAGAAAGTCCATCCCAGAAGCATAAGATACAACGTATGACTACACCATGGAAGGGAAACCAGTCTATAAAAAGGCAAAAACACACACCTACAGAAGAACAATTCAGAGCCAATAATAATTAACCTTCCCTAACCTAATTTAGGGAAGTGGGCGAACTTGGGTAGATGGTGCAAACTCTGTACAGAAGGCGCCCCAGGTAACTAATATGTAACCTTGTGAATTCACCCATGTTAAAGTAGTGGCACATAATAAATATTTAAAAAGCATGAAATTTGAAAAGAAACATGAAGCACTTTTGAATAAGTGTAATTATGAATCCATTGACATTTCTCAGTCCTTGTTCTTAAATTTTAGCAATCAGTTGGAGATTTCACCAATGTAAGACAATTGAGAAGATAATAAACTAAAGCAACTTCATGCTTATTTAAGAGATTAAGACAAGGACTAAGATTATTTTAAATACGTTACATCCAGGGCTCTTTGTATATATCTACTAACATAAAGTAGCCATCTAAAACATGTTTTTCCATATCAGAAATGTTTATATCTTTTAAATACCTTTATATTCGTCCTAAAAAGCTAGCGGTCGCAGTTCTCAGAGCCTAAAGGCAATGAGTAGGAGCTGAGGTTTTTACTGAGCTGTAGGTGGGCTGAGAGATAATGATCAAAGGGGATCTTCTGGAAAATAACTCTGATTAATTGTCATAAGAGTAAGCATTCCACACCCGGAAAGACATTATCAGAAGACACACAAGAGGCAGGAAAGGAAAGAATGGAAATGAAGAAAATAGAAGCAAGAAAGCAAAAGAGAAGAAGCGTGCCAGGCAAGAGGGCCTTGTTCGGATACACTTTATTTATTGCTTAAGAGAGCTTGCTGCTCTTTATTTTAGGAAACTCTCATTTCCGTATTTGTCCAATCCTTAGGCTAAAGGCGTTCTCTCCTAGTTAGGAATGCATTTTCAGGATAGGGAGACAGATTCTCATGCACTTTGAGGTATCTGGGTTTACAGGAAGGGAGTTCTAGCTCTACTGTAGGTCAAATTCTGTTTTACTTGGGACACAGGTTTATCTCTCTTTTTGGTCTGTTAGGTACTATATAATGTTCATATTACTGGGTTTGCAATCCAGGTTTTTGGAGAAATCAAAATTTTGTATACAGTATGTGTAACATTCTGTGTCGCCTAGTTGTGTTATTTTAGATACATATTTGTCTTAGTTGGACTCTCATCTATTACTCTGTCACCATAGCAGTGCCATAGAATAATGAATGTGGATGCCTAAAGCTGTACCAATCACTTGTGTATATTTTTGATACATTTATTGTATGACAATTTGTCTTTACTTATTTTGTATAATTGTGTATCCTGCCCTGTTTTTCTATTTTCCTAATCCTCTCTCTATTACAATACAAACATTGTGGCTAAATTACTGTTCTTCATTTTGCAATGAGAATGTCAATGCATTAACTCAGTCTAGTAAGCACTGTGAGTATTCTAGAGGAGGCTGAATCATGGTGCAAAGAAAACACCCATCCATTTTCTAACAACTTCTACCAATTCAGAGTTGTAGGATCTCAGCAACCAACAGGCACAAGGCAGGAGACACCCTAAACGGGACAAATACACAGATATGCACACACTCATCCCTAGTGCCAATTTCCCAGAAACCAATTATGTCTTTGGACTGTGGGGAGACCCCGGAGTACCAGAAGCAAACCCATGCAAACATGAAGACAACACACACAAACTCCACACAGATAGCATCCCAGGTCTGGAATTGAACTCCTGCACTGTGAGGCGGCCATGCTCACCACTGCACTCATACGGAAAAAAACAACAAAAAAACTCTGTAGCTAAAACAGAACATAACACAAATGACAGTATAATTTCCCAGTACTATGTTTAACTCTTAGTTGCATTATTGCCTGTACACCTTGCCTGTATTCAAGGAAACTTCTGTGGTTTAGACTTTTTCAGTAGCTTTCGTGCTTTGTGCTAACTTCTGTTGCAGCAGTGATGTATTATTGCAAACACAAGCTCTTAGTGATTTTTTATGGTAAGGGAAAAAAATAAAATGAGAAACATAAGAAATTTATCACATGACAAAAGTGTCATTGTTTAATTCAATTGTGCAAACCACTTGTATTGTTCTTTCATTGGCCATGATGATTTTAAAGAGTTATCTTTTTTTTAATTGATTATTTGAGCCTACCCTTTTACCTTAGTATAACTGGGATAACTGGTAGACTGCCAGAGCAACTGTGTCTTACAGTATATTTTTGAAATACATTTTAAATCAACCCTTTTCAGACACAAATCTAAAAATATATTAAAACCCACCAATAATTCATCCCTGTGTTGCTGCGTGTTCCAGCATGAAGTATTAGTGTTGCAAAATATCTCTACATTTAAAATTCAACATTTTGTTGGATTCTTTTATTATTTTATTTAGCAACGCTTTTCCCTTTTAGTATTTCTGCATGGAGAGAAAGTTGCTATGTTTGACTCTTGTTTAAGGAGAACTTAAACTTAAGGGTTCTTGTTTAAGTAGAGAGGGCTTATCAATCAGTTTGTAAAAGTAATATAATAATACCAGTTAAAAAATAAAATTAGTCTTCTCTGAATTAGGTTTGCTAATTCTCTTTTCTAAAAATATGCAGAATATATTAAAAATGAACTCTTGCTCCTTGGAACAGCTAACATTTGCTACTGCTTTCCACTGGGAAAACTAATTTGGTATAATATTTTCATCTAGCAGAGATAATAAAGTGCATCTAATTTTTGCCTTTAGGGGGTCTCTTTAATTGGGAGGTGGTGGAAAAAAAGACTGAAAGCCAAGTCCATCACTGCTAATTTTAAACTGTCTGGGAGCGTGAGGCAGCACACCAGGTTACTGCTAGTAACACACCAGGTTACTGCTAGATAGATACTTGCATGGAATAGGAAGTTACTG